TAACTCAAAGCACAGACACTGCTGCTCAGCAGAGCCCATCTGACCATGCTGGAGGTCTTTCTGCTTGAAGCCCAGGATCTGCTCAGTATGCACCTTAAGGAGGCCTGTCTGCATAAATTCTGAACTTCTGCAACAGTGTGGAAAAAGCCAGTTGTCAGATAAAGCCAATAAAACTAGCACCTCTATAGTCAAATGGATAATTCTTGGTTTCACCAGTACCAACACAAGCTTTGCCACAAGAGTGCTACCTCATGAACTGGTGGAAAGGCATGCAAGGGCTCAGATACAGACCTGCCCTTCCAAAGGAAGGCTTGCTGTGCAAGCCACGCTGTCAGTTTCCTGGATCAGTGCTTTTAAGCAGATCTAACAGTCCAAAATAACTTTACTCAAATTTACTGTAGCCCCATGGAAGGATTACTGATGCTATTCCATTACTTAGCACAAAGCAGCGGTCTCCAGGGGACTGTTTAGTAGCATATTCTTGTCTGGATATTAAATCAAGCTATGCCAACGACTTAAAAAACAGCAGGTAACAAGCTTTTTCCTGTTTTTCAGTGAGCTCTGTTGAATCTCATCTTTCATTTGTTTTGAACTGCAAGTCTCCTATGTGCATACAAAAAAATCTCCAACTTTCCCCCCTGCCAAAGTACACAGTGTGTGATTAACGCATACAGGAATGTTTTTGGCTGTGGCTACGCTGAGAAGCTCAGTGGATGGCAGTGCTGCTCCTTCATGGGAGCAACTACGGGGCCTCTTTCTCCACACCTCCACATCAGCAATATCACGGAACCAGAGGGGCACAGGTGAAAGAACTTGAGAAAACACCAAGCTCAGTGGGACAGGTGAGTTTAGACATCAGAAATCAGAAGTTTGAAACAGCAGCTTAATCTGTTGTAACTAAGTTCCTACTGTAGTAACACAAGTAGGGCAAGTATATTAATAAAAAACCCACAATTTATCTGTACATGAATTACTATGACCATGGTTTCTTTACTGACACATAATGGATGTTACAAAAGGCAGGACATACTCCTGGGGAACAAGGACCAACTTGGTCATTCTTCTTGAGAAGGTGGTTGGACCAGATGACCTCCAGAGGTTTCTTACAACCTCAGCCATTCTGTGATTCTGTAAAACCATTTTTTTCCTTCTACTTATTTATGTATAAAAAAGCTTAACACCTGCAGCACCCTGCATGAAATAATATTAATGATATTTTCTGAATTCAGAGTAGAAGAGGTTGCGCTTGGTTTGCCTAAATGAAACAAAATGTTTTACATGACATACAGAATCATGTATGTTAGCCTGATGTTTGGTGCCTGTATCTATTACCTGTTCTTCAAAATACTATTCCAAAGTTGACAGTTTAACACTGGTCACCAGCAGCACTAGCAAAAGTCTCACATCTCTCCCACACTGAAGAGTTTATTTTCCTGCAGCCAGCCAGAATGCAATTTATTCAGCTACACGGATTCATTCTTGAACTATTTTCCTTATTATATTGTCTCATCTGTGAAAAGAGCTTTCCTTGATTACTGTCAACATTTCATTTCATTGCGTTATCTTGTTTGTCTTTTGATGCTATAGTTTCCTTACTTCACAATGTTTTAACTACACTGGCTGCAACTGTTAAAAGAATAACTGTAATCTTGAGGATCAACTAGAAAGGATTTAAAAGGGCTTAAGTAATTCATTTTACTGATGTTACAATAACTTATTTTTATTTGATTATGTAAATGAGTGTTGGTGCATATCTACTTGGCAAAATACTGGAAAGTTTAATTTTCTATCCTGAACAAAGAGCTCTCAGTGTTAGCAACACATGAGCTAACGAAATATCTTATGCAAAGACAGGGATCTCTCATGACACATCCCAAAATTACATGTATATTCAGGAAAACAAAAGCCATGCTTACCTGACAAAATTTACCACGATACATTCCCTGAGCTAATGTTCAGGATACAACAGAGATTGTCACAGACCTGTGGACCTACTTTCTCCCATCCTCAATCCCTGTCCAGCACCTACTCCAATAGGGTGCTTCCCAAAGGGCTTGTGAACGCCTTTCACTAGAAATAGGGGAAATGATGCACAGTTTCAGAGACCTTAAGGGAGCTACAACCACAGTTACCAGTAACACGAAGCTGCAAGTCACTATGATTTCTGTTCCAATTTCACCTACAAACTGTATGACTCATACTGCCACTGCATTTTATATGACGGTCCTCAATGCACAGACTGCTTTTAAAGTCTTCCCCTCTCTCCACCCTACATTTATTTGCATCTTTACACAGATAAGAAATAGATTCATTTCCTCTGAGAAAGAAAGAAGAGAGGTCTTTGGTTTTACTTCATTAGGAAGGTGGATTAGGGCCAAGGAAAAAGACCAAAAGTCTAAAAGGATTTTAATGAGGCTGAATGTGAATAGGGTGAAAGAAGTCAGGAGACAGAAGGCAGGAAACAGAGAGATCCTCCAAGCCAATGAGTTGAGAGGGGAACAGCTGAGGACCTCATGCAGTGCTCCACAGCTGGAAACCAGAGACAGTTTTGAGCTGAGGAGACTGGTGTCTGCCAACCCAAAACAGCAAATTATAAATGACCGAGGAAGACTGCTGGAGTCTTCTCACATAAGGAAGAATGCCTGGTTCTTGTCAGAAAGAAAAGGTAAGAGTAACAACATAAGAACATTAGTAATACTGGACAGCAGCTGGACACCGCTTACAAGTAACTTGGGTTTGCCTGTATATCCCACTATGCTGACTGCTTGAATAGCAAATCTTTCATGGAAAAATTTTCTCATGAGATTTGCCCAAGAGACAGTTACTCTAGTAACTTACTTCTCAGTACAAACGCAAATGAAAAGTGGGTCCCAAGCAGAAAAGAGAACTTAATCTTCCTTCTGCAGAAAATTCATTAAAAAAAGTCTCTCAGTGCTGTGATTGCTCTGTTAATTCACCTAAATACCAAGGACAATCCTGCCAGTATTTGAATGTGGGCTATTTCAGTACTGCAATTCTCAGAAAACCACATTAAACACTAATGCTCCTATATCTAGTAGCAATTCTTGAATTTACTACAGACTGCCCTAATGCAGGCATTTGTCATTGTTCAAATAAACACACTGTAATAATTATTCAGTTGTTCGTCTGTTAATGTCTTACAGTTGGCCATGCATAGAAAGAAAAATAAACAAAAACATATGAGTTAAGTGATAATTCAGCTGCAGTCACATAAAGCTACGCTGTTTAAAAATGTCCTGGTATTCTGAAGAACCAAGCTGGAAATAGTCAGCTTCCATTTAAATCACTGTCCAAAATTTCTTATCATATCAATGATCTTAATCTCTTGGCATTGTATACATGCATGAAAAAAATACAAATAGCCAGTTTACTATTTTACAACTTTTATTTGCTGAAATCTTACTCTATTCAAATTAATTCTTCTGCCAAAGACTTCAGTGTACCCAGGACTTAATTGAGTTGAGCATACATGTTATACCCACTATGATTTTTCCTCAACAGAAATGTAAAATTAAGACTTATTCATAGTTCTATCAAAGTGACAGTCTGTTTTTTAAATAACATTTAGGATTTCTTCTATATAACACTCTTTATATATTTACATGGCATGAATACAAAGAAAGAGAAGAGAAGCTCAAATGGACAGTTTCCAGTATTGGCAAGAGCACTATAAACTCGTGGGTTGCTATCCAAGCACTTATTTACAAGACTAAAATGACCTCCATAATGTGCTCTCTTTCGCAAAAGTGACACACAATTCAAAGACTGAAAGTTAATTCTGTTTGGAAGAATTCTACTACTGAACAATATTTTTCTTTTAAATTGCCGTATTTTTCCCTAAAGGAGGAAGAAGTTGGTAAATGAATGTTCAATCTATGAAATTTTTAGTAATATTTCATTTCCCTAAGCACTAAAGAGCAATGTCAATGCTATTGCACTGGGTCTGTACTGAGCTGATGATCTGCAGAATTAGATCCCAACCCACAGTACAGACATGATTACTGGTCTCTAGTTGTTTTGAGCTCTCAAATAGAGTACTACTAAATTTTTTGAGCCTCAAAAATAACCTGTAGTAAACTAAATTTCATCTGCAATGTGAGGTCTCTTTAACAACCTCACATATCTAGACAGATACAAATCCCTAACTTAACAAATGAAGAACTGAGTCTCACAGTGCAAGGTCAAACAGTGCTCCAGCTACTAAATTAATATTGTAAAGGCATGGTCATAGTGTTCCTTTGAACCTGATTTTATATTCTACAGAAATATACTACCTATGGCTTTTAGGAAATCTGATAATCAAACATGAACAATCAAATAAAACATGTTCAGTAACAGCTTTATGTATTTTAGATTACTTTCCTATAGAGATTTGAGATTTTCCTGCTACACTGACACTTATATCTACTTTATGGAATTATTACACATCAACAAAACTCTGCATATCATTTTACATGCTCCTTATGATTTATGATTCACTAATAGGAGAGCATATCTGTATGCTTCCAAAACAACAGAAATCCCATGTCAAGATTTTTGGACACTGTAAATGATTTGCTTTATACACCAGACTTCTGTTTATCAGGACTCAGAAAAGAGTCTTATTTCACTTAGGTGTATCTTTCATTAAATCTTCCTGCCTACATAAATCTAGGTATTTATTCAAGGACATACGATAAATTTCCCAGTTTTCATCATCATTGTAGTTTTTCTTAAGCTTCTATCTGTAAGTTATTAATAATTAAACCCAAAGAGAAAAGAAGATTAGAAAAATATAAGTAGGCAGGAGAGCTTTCTTGCTATGCAAGAAACAAAAAGTGTGTGTAACAAAAGAGCCATATTCAGCCAGCCATATGCTTTCAACCATATCTTGCCGTAAAACTGTTAAAATACACTCAGAACCAAACGTATTTTTACATAACCAGGCACTTGGCTTGCACAAATAGGTATACCCACTGGCTGCACACACAGCAACATACCTGCAGAGACTCGGGGGCAGTCGGGCAGCATGGACTCCACGGACGTGTCCAGTGGCTCAGAGCTGGACACCCAGTTACAACAGTTCTGCATCAGAAGATGTGCAATTGGTAAGCCAAAAACTCAGAGTAAGAATAAACACAGGCTGTGTAATGGTCACATCAAAATATATAGAGCAATCTCAACAGGGACTGGAAGGTAAACTACACTAGCTTGGTAATGTCCAAGCTCTAATAACCAAGTGATATCTAAATATTCTGATATCATCCTTAATATGTAAAATGAGGAAGAACTCAGCAGATTTGTAGCGTGCTGTCTTTAAGTACTACTTTGAGTGCCAGTGGACTTCAGCAGGTCCTTGGACCACGGGAGCAAGAACTAGACACTGCACCTTTTAAGCCATTCCCCTCTGTAACCGCTGCACAGGCACTTATATAAACATTGAAGTGAAGTAACAAGAAGTCAGAATTCTAAGGGAGTTTTGATGGAGTGTGTTGTACTGAGAAGGCTGTGAGATTACAACACAAAAAATTACAACTGAGTGGAAGCCATTGAGACAGCAGTACAAATAATTGAAAATATAACTGAGATGAATTGGCACGAACATTTAAAAATGTAAATACTGATCTTTGGGGAACTAGGTTGATAAAGCATTATTAGTTACTTCTACTCCTGAGTCCATAAGTAGGATGAATTTACAAGTAAGTTTTTAAATGTTTTGTTCCAAATGGTATCTCTTCAGAAGAGTCGTACGCTGAAACTATGACCAATATATTAAACTTAATTATAAAATAACTACATTTGTAATAGGATTGCCAGATGAAATAGAAGATCTACATGGCTTCCCTTATTACAAATCTCAGTTTTGCCTTCCTCAGAAAGTGACTAATTTCATCAAAGAAAAAAAAAACATTTTTCTGGGAAAGACCCAATGAATTTTCAGACAGATTTCTAAAAAATCATCCTATCAATCATGACTGTAAAAATGGATGATGGCTATTCCAGTAAACAAGCATGTATTGTGTATTTGTAGATGCTTGCTGCCCTAGTTGTGCACCATGGAGTCTGTCCTCACTGTGGAAAGATCCTTGACTGGTAGATCAAGTGTCTTATTGTATTTCCTTAATTCATTCTGTCTGGAAGAAGATGTCAGCTGTGTTGCAGTGAGGAGAGGATTTCAAAGGCTTCAGTCCCCACCAATAAAGGCCGAGGAATAGCTTTTGAATAGATTTGTCAAGGCAACCCTACTGTTCTGGGACCAGGGAGAGCAGGAACAACATAAAGGAAGGGTTGCTGTATGAGATTAGAAAGTGAAGTTCACAAAGCAAGGCAGATTTTTGTAAGAAACAGTAGATCAATGAAACTATTGAACTCGATGGACAAAAAAAATAAAAACAAACACACTACCCAGGAATGCAACTTTTTAGTAAAAAATGTTTAAAATGGAATATTTCACAAAAGCTTTAGGGTTTAAAGTAGTAAAGTATTGCACATTTTACAATTTGCATATATAATTTTAATTAACAGCTGAATGTGAAATTGCAAATGTAAGATGGTAAAAATTAAAAGAAGTAGAATTTTTATGAAGTATTACATTCATTTGAAATAAGTAAAATTAATATTAACTACCAATAGAAGACTACATCAGAGTGCTGGAGATAATACAGAAGATTAGCACACAATTAACCGGCTTTTATATACAGCGTGACACTTGCCTGTAAGAAATAAGTATTCTCGAAAGCAGTGTCAAGATATGTAAATGGATGATTTGTTTTATCATTCATCACAGCTCCTAATAAATTCAAAAAATCATGACTTCTATAGGTACTAAAAATAGGCCACCAATGATACAGGAGAGATAGCTCGATGAAGAATTACTTTTTTAACAATTCATTCTTTCAATGACAGCAATTAGCCCTACAGACAGGCAGCGATTAGGTGTATATTTTAATTATTATTCATTTTACCAGTAGCCTTAAACCTGATTAAAGTAAGAGATATCCAGGTGATGTGCTAGTCTTTATACCACTCAGCCACACTTCACATATGTAAAGTTCTTCTTTCCTATTGGAGATTTTCAATGCTAATGTAAGTTATGACACTCCATCCACTTTTTAGGCCATTAATCATTTAACTTATTCTTTAAGATCTACATTCTGCAAATGAAATTAAAGGTAATGCACTTGTCTTACTCAGACTAAATGCTTAAAGAATAATGGAGTTGTCAGATTCAAATTACAGGATTTAAAATTTCAGTTTTACTACATAACATATATTTTAAGGTTTTGATTTCCCATAAAGAAAATGGGGATTTTTCTGACAGAGCCTGTAGGGGTTACCATTCTTCATATTTTTAACATTTAAGACAGAGCTGTCGGACTATATCCCAGGTGATTCTCTACTCCCATCAGTCATGGCCTATGAAGTGGTAAGGTTAAGTCCAGAGTAGGCAGTCTACATACAACGTTTCACTAAACCCACAAGAAAAAAGTCAAGACTAACAAAAAATTCAGTATAGCTTCTATTTGCCACACACACCTTCAGTTTTACCACTCTGAAATGAATGTAGAAAACATGGGCTCAAGCTTGATTTGGAAAGAAACTCAGAAATTGTTAGTCTCACTTAAAAAAATACTTAAATCACAACAATCCCATACTTCAGTATTAAAATGAATAATGAATGCAAGAGTTATACTTCACCAAAGGGTGGAAAATTGTGCTTGCTGGCCATAAATCACCACTGGATCATCTTGGACTAACCAGTGGTTTCCCTGCTACAGTAGTAAACACTCTGACTTCTCATCAGAACATCTCAGAGCACTGTAGAAGTAATCATGTCTTATAAAAGCAAGATTTTTTAGCCAGCCGTATAAATTAGCAAGCTGAATCACAAAAAACATGAAGGGGCTTTTCTACCACCATCATGTCAGGCCAGGAGCAGAACTCTGGTGTTCTGGTTGCTCTCAGAACTTCGCACCAGTTACCAAACAGCACTTGGGCTACAACAGTGCATGCTTCCACACTGCACACTGGAGCCAAACCTTATTATTTTGACTGCTAGCTTCGAAGCTCAGAAACTGCTTTCATCTCAGTTATTTTAGGGGCTGGTATGGGGACATGATTCCCATGGTTTTGAAACATGCTCTTTTTCACAGCCTAAAGAAATGGAAGAGGTTAGTAGATAAAGAAATGTTTATAGAACCATACAAAGGTGTATATGCCCCAACCCTTTGAAAAAAAGTCCTCACCTCTCGCATCCACTCTCGAATAGTTTTGCCAGCTTCTTGATGCCACACATTGTGAACAGAGTCTGTCAACGCCACAGCAGTTACCTTATTCTTTACTTCTGCCTCTCGCTGAATCATCTGTTAAAAAATACTGGCTTTAAGTTCTTTATTTCTATTGAGCACTGTCTGCTTTGCGACAGATAATGGCCTTAAATTAAAAAAGGAAGAGGAATGCAATTTCAATACTTGACTTCACTTGTTTCAAAGTTTATACAAATCCTAACAGCTCTAGAAACACAGAAAGACCTAATATTTTTGATAAAAGAAATAATACTAACTTTTAACTGACTGAACTATTCAGTCCTATTATTTTCCATGTGGCTTGACAATTCTAGGATTAAAGGTATCATAGTGAAAAAATGTAAGATTCCCTGAGGACATCTTTTACAAGCTTCTCCAAGTTCCTATTTCTGTGCTTCAGGGAAGCTGGTACCCGCAGTTCACTGTAAGCTACTCAAGACTATCATCTACTAATTTTCAGTAGATTGCTGTAGTTTTTCAGATGTACAATCTTACTTTGACCTGTGTTTTTTCTTTTTCCACCCAATTTAGCTACCTCGCACTCCCACCATGGCCCCCAAATTCTTTGTGCTCTCTCTCATACATATACTTACCAGGCTAACAACAGAGCCTCTTAACATTTGTAACATATTAAAAGTCTCTGTTGCTGGAAATGACAGTATGACTAAATAATATTAGTACTAAAACCAATTAAATGATTGCTGCAAATAACATGAACAAATGACAAAGATGCTGTGGAATTCAGCACTGCTCTGCAAGATAAAAGGGACTGAAAAAGAATAGTTTGATATCAAAGAGAGACAAAAAGGTTTTAATCTCCTGACACAAGTGACCCTAATTTGTAACACTGGAACAAAGTAAGTATAATGAATTATACTTAAAAAAAAAACCAGCATTTCACAGCTAGTGTCTTTATCACTGGGTATACCACACTAAAGTTAATGTTTTTTTGGCATCCTTTTGTATTAATGGCAACACATACAACATTTCTAAAGCCAGACTTTCTTTGTTCATGGCCTAGTAACTGCTTATCAGTATACAGGCTGCACTTTCAAAAACAATGCTCCAGAAGGGATGCAAATGATGTTTTTTTGCATCAGAAACTCAAAAATAATCACCTAAACCCAGACGTTCAGTGTGAAAATAGCATTTATCAATATCTAATACAGTCTCCCAATATCTTCAAAATACCACAGATGCAAACCTTTTTGAGGAAGCATTCTTCCAATTCTACACAACTGTAGTACAACATTATGAAAGTTTCTTGAATTTCTTTTTGTTCACATAACATCTTTTTAAAATTAACTGTAGTCAAGCTATTCTTAAGTGACAAGTATTCACCATTACTGGAAAAGAAATACAAACGTAGATCTCCGCACTCCAGATAAAATCAGATGTTTGCCTTGTCCAATGTTCTGTTTGTCTTGCCCAATGTTTCTGTTCTGTCAGCATTACATGATTCAGAAATTCAGCTAATCTTAGGAAATTCTGGGCAAGTACATACAGAGACACTCTTAAAAGTGATCTTCCTGTGAAGACTGTCTGTATGTCCATTTTTTTTTTAGATACTCTCCCATGGGGCACATACAATATCTACAACATTTGGAGGATGAGACATTCTTTACAGGTGTGTTTGCATGGGGAGCAAAATCACTGATTAAGGACAAAGTGGCATTTACTGTAAAAGGCTGGGCTTCATTCAGCTGTGAGACGGTACTGCCGTTTTCAGCCAAACATCTGATACTGAACACTGAATTTCACCATAAATACAAAGTCGTGCATAACTTCCTCCGCTATGAAATGCAAGAATTGTATGGAATAATAACTTTTCCAGAGCAGTCTTTCAGCAATTGGGTGATTCTGCTAAACTTGGGATGAGACTCTGGAGCTCCTCAAGAACGTGGAACCTCAAAATGAAGATCTTTACCAACACTATAAATCACCTTCGTTGAGGCTATACAAACATCTGAAGTGCAACTAAATGTTTTGTGTCTCACAGGCAGATCTGAAATCATCAACCAGACTATTTTGTCAAAACTCGGACTCACTGTATCTCATCTACAGTAATCTCACCAGGATTACGTCAGGCCCCAATTGTAGGTCAGATCTACAACATAACTGAAAAACCGTATTTTTTAATGCAATGTAGAAAGTACCGGGATCAGAAAAAAGAGGGAAAGAAGGGATTAACTGAGCTTCAGTTACGCATGACATTATGTTCAGCCCAGAATAAGCAAGTTTTGGCAGATATCTATTCCCTTACGAACTGACCTTGAAAAAACAACAACAAAAAAAAACAAACCCAGAAAAAATAGAGAAAGAATCAAGGATATAACATTCACTTAAACAAGACTAATGTGTCCATATTTAAGTGACACACAAATGTCACAACAGAGCATGTCAAAGCTGGGTCACTTAGTTTCTACTGTAACAGCTCAAATTCTCTGCTATGGTGGGATATTAACTAATAATAACAACAAAGAATAGATCCAGGTGCCTCTCAAACAATAGATTCTCTTAACAAGGATCCTAATTTATCCTGTGAGAAGACAAAAGAAGCTGAAGTGCTCACAGAAGCATCAGCGCTTCATATTCTGTGGACTGATAGTTTTGAGTTAAAACATAGACATCTTCACTAAAAATAGCTTTTAATTCACATACAATTAAAAAATTGAGCTGAATAGAATTATTACAGTAAAATACATTGACACGCATTGCAAAATTAGCAGCCAGCTGTATTCAGATTTGATACAAGTCTGTAATTCAAAAGGAAGAATGCTAAGGGGTGCATGATTTACACCTCCCAGGATTAGCTTTATTCAATGCGGCCAGTGCAGTCTTACAACAGATATACTAAAGATATAGTAAAATCAAAGACAATTTAACAGAACACAGACTATTTACAATATAACAAACTGTACTTTTTTTTTTTTTTTTTTTTTTTTTTTTTTTTTTTTTTAACTCAAGCAGCAACTGCAGATAAAGACCTAGGGAATTAATCTGAAGTTTATTTTATACTTTACACTCTTTATACATCAGTAGGTTCCACATAAACCCAATTCTCATAGCCTGAGAATAACTTAATTTTTTCCTCAATTCCAGTTTTTAAATCTCAACTTATTGCTATCAGAACACTGAGAGATTTTGCAGGAAGTAACCTCCCAATGTACCCCTTCATAGGATGGCGTCCAGTTCCTACTCTGTCCTAACATTCCTTCTTCTTTGAAAAATTCATTAATAACCAAGAGCAGTTAAACAGACACTTCTGTGTCAGGTTCTCCTTTGACTGCACCCCTCTAGGACTTTCTCGAACACGTTTTCTAACAAGAAATTTCTACTTAGTCTCTGTCTATTTTGTAGTCACTGTACAGTTTGTTTTGCAATTTTTTTATTGCATCATCACTGCACATTTATTCTCTTGCACTAGGCATATTCCTAGAGCAGTATTCACTGTAAGGATTTAGGAAGCATTCAGGATCTCTGAAAGTTGTCTATGTACTACTGGGTGAAAACTTATTCCTTTTTCTTTGCAAGGCACAAGTGTTACACAAGTGTTCAACTGAACCACTTCCATGAACACAAACTGAAGTCCTTTAAAGCTTAAAACTTTCACTAAGTTCAGATATATTACTGACATGCTTAGTGGTCAATTTAGTAAGCTATTTACTTCTAGGTTGTTCATAATGATGGATGGCTGCCTTCTGTAAGGTAATATTATAAAATTACCACAACTTTGTAATGAAAAAAAATTGGTACCTTCATAATCTATTGTGTGTGCGTATAAAACATTGTCTCTTATCACATAGGTAATACATTAACTGTACACACAGATATTTAGAATAGATGATGAGATGTAACTTTGGCATGCAGTATGCTTTGCAGCACAGCACTCAAACGTGAGCATCAACATATTAAAAGGAGAATCAAAAGCCTTATACTGTAAACATGAAAATCCATGCATGTTCCAGCTAGAGATTAAAACTTCTTCAGTGGTAGACAGGTAAAAAAATACCTTTTGTACTTACATGGGTCCAATCAAACCAACTGCCACTACTTGGTATTTATGAGATACTAACACTTTTGAGTCACCTGTAATCGGGAATTAGGAAAAATTGATAAATATTTTAAAAATGCCCACAAGACACTTTCTCTTGATCTTTTAAGAAAACCTTTCATCTACTTCCCTTGCCTTCCACTGCAATTTCAGTTGTGGTATAATATTTATATGGTGCGTACTGGGTTTGAATGGGTATGTCTATAACAAGAATTTGGCTTGGAGCAAAACTAAATTTGACACAAATACTTCCATTGTCTCCAGTTGCCTCATACTAGTTTGAGTTTTAAGAGGCTTTGGCATGTGCTAACTGAATTCCTTTCAGAGGAAACTGAACTGGAAGCCTCTGTCCAAATGCACTGAATGATTTCCAGACATGCAGAAGAAATTCTGCTGGATCACAATGGCATCAGTTGGACTATGTAAAATATGTAACAGCAGTGATAGATAGGAAGAGAGAACAAATCACCCACAAGGAGTGGTGTGTGAGTGAGAAAATTTTATTTAACACTCTTGAAAAGATATGCAGATTCCTAAGAACCTTGCATGCTCTCTAGGGAATTTAATGCAGGACTACCCTTTCAAGATCCTCTTCAGCTCTCCTTTCACTCAGTGCCATACAAACCAAGTAACAGATCTGTGTCAGGATGCACCCTTCCTGAACTCAGAAAGATTACTCTTCACCAAGAAGCATGTAATACTTTTATCTGTAGAGCAATGTTGTTAGTCTGTGATTCTCAGACTTTTCATTGCTTCCTGGATGCAATTCCTGAAATTTTTAAATACTCAGTTTTTTTGGCACATCCCCAATTTTTCATAAAGTATCATTTGTTAGGAACTAGAATTCCAGAGCAATTACACTAGAACAGCATATAACAAGCATCACAATCCAAAGTAAGTTAAACTAGTTCCCATTATCAATAAGCACTGAGAATGATTTTCTCTTAATTTACTCACAGATGTCCTTAATACCTGCTTGCAGTAGACAAAGCATTTGATTCCT